TTACGTCTTTTAGTTTTTCAAAATATTTAAAGTACCGATTTGGAAGAGTGCGCATGTGCGAACATTCTCTACTGTGTAAGAACGAGCCAAATATTGAGTCTGGTAATAAAGCAAAATATCTGAGAACAATTAGAAATAGTCCTCAGATTACATGTCTGTAATTTATATATAAAAAATCTAGCATTAATTGGATCTCAAACAGTTTAATTAAAAGTAGTTATTCAACGTGGCTGAATGATACTTTGCGACAATGGGTTTCAGGAAACAGTCGTGACTAGCTAGTTGATTTCTACAACGATGCATCGTACTATGCTAGTGAAGCAGCGAACTACTTCGTTGTATGGGAAACGCACCCCAGCTTAGTCCAGTTTTCATATAATGGCGTAATGCGGGCAAATCAATATTATTGTTATTATAATAATTGTTATTATTAAATGTCTCCAACTAAGCAAGCCAAAAGCCAAAGGTGACAGTGTCTAGGAACCAAAACCCCAACTACATTGTGACAACTATTTGAAGTATTGTGTTCTGTCATGTGTGAGAACGGAAGTGAATGAGTAAATGGATGTCCCATTTCTCGTGTGATTAGTTGCTTAAAGGATTAGTTCACTTTTGAAAAAAACTTTTGCTGATAATTTACTCACCCCCATGTCATCCAAGATGTCCATGTCTTTCTTTCTACAGTCGAAAAGAAATTAAGGTTTTTGATGAAAACATTCCAGGATTTTTCTCAATATAATGGACTTACATGGGAACCAGACGGTCCAAGGTCGAAAAGACAGTTAATAACAGTTTCAGATGCAGCTTCAAATGTCTTTAAACGACACCAGACGATGAATAAGGGTCTTATCATGCGAAACGATCAGTTATTTCAAAACTTATTCCAAAAATGTAACTTTTCTAAGGATACGAAATACGAATACGAAGGATACTGAATTACGTTCAGAAGGTCACGGGCGACGTAGCCGTAAGTACAGAGTCAGTGTTTACAAGTTGAACGCATAGGTTGAACGTGCAAACTAACTCAAACGCTGTTTACAAAAAAAGGATTTAAAAGGTAAAACAACGATGTCGGACGATTTTGATTCTGTACTTCCGGCTACGTCGCCCGTGACCTTTTGAACATAATTACGTATTACGTATTACAAACGCGCCTCACAGTATAGAGCAAGGCTAGCATTTGTCCTTAGAAAAGTTACATTTCACGAGTTCACACTTACATATAATTGAGGAATAAGATTTAATACGTATTTGGCGTGCTGTCCGGAGGGAGGGCTCCGAGCTCGAATTCAGCCCGAACCCAGAGTACTCCCCCCCCTATGTAAGTGATTTTTTAGAAAGAGGAGTGTGGAGAACTAGGAGTGTGGAGAAGGGGTGGAGGAGGGATGCTGCAAACTGTCAATGAATCGAGGTAAGACTGCTGAGTCTATTTGTACCCTCTCATCATTGATTGCTGATTGCTGTCCACTCGTGTTATCTGAACATGCTCCTCCCGAACTTAGTTAATAAAACTTCATTTTTGGAATAAGTTTTGAAATAACCGATCGTTTCGCATGATAAGACCCTTACTCATCGTCTGGTGTCGTTTAAAGACATTTGAAGCTGCATCTGAAACTGTTATTAACTGTCTTTTCGAACTTGGACCGTCTGGTTCCCATGTAAGTCCATTATATTGAGAAAAATCCTGGAATGTTGTCATCAAAAACCTTAATTTCTTTTCGACTGAAGAAAGAAAGACATGGACATCTTGGATAACATGGGGGTGAGTAAATCATCAGCAAAAGTTTTGTTAAAAGTGAACTAATCCTTAAACTCCTGACAGACACCACAATGACACATGAGGCTGAGACTACAGCAGAATGGACAACAGAGTTACCAGTTTAGGTTTACAACCATAGCGTCCGAAAACTGAGAAATGTGGCCTCAGTGCCTCCACATGGCGGCAGGAAGGAGACGAGGCACGTCTGAATCCAGTGATCGTGTCACATCCTGTCTACTGAGATACCTTCGTCTTATTCTTAAAGGCAGCATTTTTTTTTTTTTTTGCTCAAATATTCAAAAAATGTATATGAATTTTTTTTCTTCAGGCTTTGAAATCAAATATTGCTCAACAGGCCATAAAAATAAACCCAGGTGTGATTACCTTCTGAAGAAAGCCACTACATGCCAAGACAAAGTCCACTTTCATCACTTTACAAGCAACAGTGGCTTGATTCTCATCCCCAGTAGTTTAGTTTACGGCAGGCGTGACTGGAAGCATCACACAGATGCGGGCCCTTTCATAAATAAAGCAACAACAACAAAACAAAAACATATTTAAAATACATAATTCCATTCAAAGTATTATTTTTTAAGGGAATTAAGAGTTTTATTTAGAAAGGATACATTTAATTCAAAATCAAAAGGTACTGCAAAGACATCTATAATATTACAAAAGATTTAGTTTTCAATTAAATACTGTTTTTTTAACTGTCTTATTCATCAAAGAAACCTAAAAAAATGAAACATCGGAAATGTTTTCAAAATGACTGAAGACTGGAGTAATGATGCTTAAAATTCAGCTTTGATAACAGGAATAAATTACAGATTTAGATTTAAATCTGTCGAAAAAATATAGATTTTATATTTTTGTTTTATCAAGAGGTTTAATTACTATTTTTGCATTCTTTCACAATTATTAGTCTGGATCAAATTTTCTTTAGACAATTCATTTTGATGGATGTTCTCAAAATTGCTGGGGGTGCCGTTGAATATAGCAGTCACTTGCATTGAATATTAAGAGTTCATTCTCTAATAAACTAAAGTCGACCCGGTATTAAGACGAAACACAGTGACATGTCATTTTGGACCCCATGAAGGTCAGCAAAGATTAACTATATTTCAAAATAAAACAATAGCCCACCAGTAGGTGATTTATGCTGAGTATATTTTTCTTTTGGTGCCCTAAAAGATATAGAAGAATCCATAAAGAGATGAATAATTGCTGTCATAAATCATTCCCTTATTTATAAAACTCCAGCCGAGAGGGTTCATCAGCCAGCCAATGGGGTGGAGCAGATGTGTCCCAAACACAGACACGTGCTTCACACCTGCTCAAAACATCTCTCTCTGTGTGTGTGTGTGGGGGGGGGGGGGGGGGGCATTATTATTTGACAGTTTTTGAAGGACCTTAATTGCTCAAATATCTTGCCTTTCAGAACCATAGACCACTAAAACTAATCGGTTACACTTTATTTTAAGGTGTCATTGGTACAGTGAAATTATATATTTAAAGGAGTAGTTCACTTTTTTTTAAAAAAAACTTTTGCTGATAATTTACTCAACCCCATGTCATCCAAGATGTCCACGTCTTTCTTTCTTCAGTCGAAAAGAAATTAAGGTTTTTGATAAAAACATTCCTGGATTTTCTCCATATAATGGACTTCAATGGGCACCAAACGGTTCAAGGTCCAAATGAGGGCTTTAAATGACACCAGACGATGAATAAGGGTCTTATCTAGCGAAACGATCGGTCATTTAAAAAATAAATAAAAAAGTTTGTTTTATAAGCACAAATGCTCGCCTTGCTCTGTTCTGTGACTCTCCTGTTCAAACTCGTTCAGGAAATCAGTCTCGAGCAGTCGAACCACGAACGCAGAGCCAAGTTCTGGCTCGTTCACATCGCACCAGCGCACTTGGCTTGGCGTTCGTGGTTCGACTGCTTGAGACTGTTTTCCTAAGATGGCTCCTGCCTGTATTCGCAAAGTGGACTGCCTTTATAAAATATCTTGTTATTGAACGGTCTGTACACTTACAAAGTTCTCAATGCTCCGTTTTGCATGCAGGGACCCTGATTATGCTACCGTGTTAGTGTGGTGCTATTTTGAGCTTTGTTAGTGGTATTAATTAGCAATTTTTATTTTCATTACTCTATGCATTATAAGCTTAACAGTTTAGTTTAATTTAGTTGAGGGTTAGTTGCATGTAATGCATAATTTACTGCTATTACTATGGTAAGTTCTGTACATGTAACAAGGACACAAATAAAGTGTTACTACGTTATTTAAATGTCTTAAATTAAGTCTTTATGCATGAGCTGCTCTTATTAAAAACTCTAAAGAAAACTGGTATTGTCCTTGTTTGAAATGTATCAGCCTCCAGGTGAAATCCAAGTCATTATTTCAATTATTAGCAATATTTTGTCAATAATATTGTCAATAAACAACTTCAAACCAACTCAGATAAGTCGTTTTGCCCTTGAGCCTCCTTATTTTATGTTTTTCTATATAGAATTGCATAAATGAGGACGCACAAAGGCAAAACGACTTCTTTGAGTTGGTTTGATAGGGCTGAAAAACTCAGTTTGGGTTCAACACTGACAGTAAAAATAGCTTTGTTTAGCCTGATCGTGCTCAGACAAGACATCTTTGTCCTTAGAAAGGGTAGAAAAGCCCATAGTGTCTTAAAGAGAAGCATTCTTCCACATCCGCAGGGATGTTTTATCACCTGTCAAGCAGGGAAAACATATGTCTTCCCAAGCTGGAAATCAACCAGAAACAATGACGTATGCATAAATAGAGCAGATTTATTTATAAAAACATTTCCACAAAATATATTTGTTAAATCACTTATGTACACTACAAAAAATTAAAAATTAAAAAATGGACAAGTGCATTGAAAAAAAATCTGCCATGTATGGTTTCACAGGAAGAACTACTGTACATCTAAACAATAAAACTTTGATAAATACAGATCGACAGATCAAATCTTCTCCAGTGTTAAAAACAACTTTGACCTATAACGGAATGGTTATTATTACAACAAACTAACAGTTCATTGTCACAAAGAAGAGGCTTACAAAAAATATATCTTCATCTTTAACAATACAAAAAAGTTATTGTACAAATTTCAAGGTAGGTCCTTAAGCAGACCTGGTAGTTGGTTGTAGGCAACACATCTGGTGGATTCCACACGGCCCAGATGTGGGCCGGATCTGGCCCGACTCTGTGTTGCTGTCTGGGAATAATCAATATTCCCAATAACTTGACATTCTTGGAATTGACTAGGGGAGTTTGTTTCATCAAAATAACATAACAGGACATAAAGAACATGCCCACAATTGCACTTATGAAGGGTCAGGAAAAGGTCTAATTCAGCAGTCTTTTTGTATTGTAGAAGCTCGTGGACCCCACTGGGGTTTGAACCTACAGCCTTTTCCAGCTTAACCACTAAGCCACGACACTGTATGCTGAGCCAGCAATCTGGGAAGTTTAGGCTATTTTGAAACACAGTGGATGGTTTCAATCTCGTACCAGCAACAAACCACCATCATAGCTTAAAGTGGTCAACAGACCAGCAAGAAACTAGCAGCCATGTTCCAAAATAGCCTCATATGGGCCTGAACTGGGTTTCCCAGCAGTCCCATGGAAAGTTTGGGTGCAGGATATTAAAATCTCATCAGTAGCGATCAAACCAAGTGGTGAAGTCCAGCAGCTCTTGGTCCTCAGAGCTGAGGTGCTCGTAACTCCCTTCATCGGACGAATAGGACGAGTGCGGCGACTCTGGGTCTGCGGAGTACGCGTTCGAGAGCGTCGGCGACGGAACGCCGCACTGGAAAGCGGCAGAGATCGCGTCGTGCTCGTCTAACAGCTGCTGCAACGCGCGGATGTACTCCACCGCCGAGCGCAGCGTTTCCACTTTACTCATCTTCTTATTGGCCGCGCCGTTTGGGACGTGTTGACGCAGCGTCTGGAATCCCATGTTGACCTGTTTGACGCGGTTCCTCTCGCGTTCGTTGCGTCGCGCCACCGCGACGGGCTGCTGCTGCGGGATGCTGTACCCCAGCCCGTTGAACGTGAGTCTCCGCTTGCAGCGCAGGAGTTCCGGTGAGCTCGAGCGCTGTCTTTTCAGCACCTTCAACTTGGTTTGGCTCGGGAGCGCGCACTCTTGCAGGGTGATAGACGCGTTGCATGCACTTTGCGCCAGTTGCGTTGCAGTATTCATCTCTTTTGGTAAGTCTAGTGTAACAAGAAATCCACTATCACTGTCAAACAAAAAAGTGGTGACGCACGACTCTCGTGCCTTCCGCGTGGTCGTTCGGGAGTATTGTGGTCCGAGTCTCGCTGTCCCTCGAATCTGATACAAACTTTGGCAGCCCTCTGCTTTTTCAACACGCGTCCGACACCCCACCCCCTTTGAAGACGCACGCTTCTTGCGCGAGACTCCGCCCCCGCCGGGTGACGCTCCGCGAGCCGGGCGCGTGGCTCCGCGAGCTCAATAAACAATCGGACGCTTTCACTGCGCCAGCACGCGCTGTGTGCTCATTTACATCCCAATATCTGCAGCCTCAAAGCCTATTGGTGGATTCAAACGCTTTTAAACTGAATGACAGAGACCACAAAATGTGCTGAATAAAAGGTGAATGGCTTTATAGATGCTTTTGAAAAGAAACTAAAATTCTTTGAAAGCGTTCAGATTAGATTTATCCTCTTGTGCTCTGTTACATCCAATACAAATTCACTTCCAAAAATACCAACATACAGACATGTAATAAGATAAAGAATATGAATTGGGCTGTATGTAAAGGCAGTGATCATCAGTTGATTCAAAAAGTCTAAGATCACTAATGAAAATGCAGAATCATTTTAAAATCCAGCTCTTATATGTAATGGCACCAGTGGCTACTCAAGCTGGAACTGGTGGTTGCGTTACTTTCATTTCATGATGTTCATGTTCTCTTTCATGTTCCAAAGAGAAAGAAAGTCTGACAGAGTTCACACGGTCAGTCACAAATTAGCCTATAAATATTGACCCATTGATTGAATCGTAAATCCTATTTATTTTACACAATTTTTCTATTTATTTCACATATTTTTTTATCTAACTTTTCTTTGATTTACTTTTTTCAAAATCCAATTTTTTACAGAATAGACATTTGGAACTTACTGTACATATTAAATATAGGCTACTATATAATGTTATGTGATAAAATATTTATTTGTACTGAAATGTCACCTTTCCCCCTCTGCAAGTGTCTTTCTGAATGAAAAGTCTATTTTTAATAATATAGGCCTACCCATATGGGCCTATTTTTGAAAGTAAAGGGAATGCGTAAGCATATACATTATAAAGTCATAACAAATAAAGACTACTGTTGCTGCAGACCTGACATTTTGTTGTTTTATTTGCTCATCTAATACCTCCTGTTATATGTTACTCACGGTAGTTTGTCTTTTGACCATACGTCAATATTCGCCTTTTTAGGGCCCCCTTAAACGTCGGTAGATGAGGTTATGGGATCCTAACTCTACCCCAGACCTAAACTTAACCCTAAACCTAACCCGTCACCTAACTGACGTTAAAGGTAAAGCGTCAGTTGTATGACGGCCCGGGATCGCCATCTACCGACGTTTAAGGGGGCCCTAAAAAGGCGGATATTGACGTATGGTCAAAAAACGTCCCAAGACGTCAGTTATATGACTTTTTGGGATGAGACTGTGTTAGCCTACCAGTCAAATATTGATGTCTTCGCAGAAATCTGACTCCCTCTAGTGGCAAAAAGAGGTGTTGCTAAAAACATTTCTTTAGTCTTGCCAGGATTGTATTTTGCTCCATGTCCTGAATTCAGCAACTATAAAATGAATCACTGAAAAATGAATCATGTCACAAAGCTCAAATCATGGTTTCTTGAACATGACTGCGAGTTCACCACTCAAATGGCCATCAGAGCCACCAGATCTCAATAACTATTACAGTAACATTAGGTAATTGACTAACATAACTATTTTAATTCATACAACTCTAAATGTTAAACTCTAGAGTTTAACATTTAGAGTTGTATGAATTAACATTAGTGAATAATGATTAACAACACCTTTTACAGCAGCTAATACAATGTTACTGTAACTTCTACTCAATATGAGTAGAAGTTAACATTGTATTAGCTGCTGTAAAAAGTGTTTTTAATAATTATTAACTAATGTTAATTCATACAACTCTAAATGTTAAACTCTACTACTGTAATAGACTAACATTTACTGTAAACTAACATTTAAAGCATTCACTAATGATAGATAGATAGATAGATAGATAGATAGATAGATAGATAGATAGATAGATAGATAGATAGATAGATAGATAGATAGATAGATAGATAGATAGATAGATAGATAGATAGATAGATAGATAGATCTTTCTATCATGGAAGAGCGGATGCATAATGATAGATAGATAGATAGATAGATAGATAGATAGATAGATAGATAGATAGATAGATAGATAGATAGATAGATAGATAGATAGATAGATAGATAGATAGATAGATAGATACAGTATCTATCTATCTATCTATCTATCTATCTATCTATCTATCGATCTGTAAAACTCGAACAAGATAGATAGATCGTTATTATTTCTGGTTACTTAATAATTATGTAACTTCCATTTCTGTTGTGTAGGAGTTGTATCACCAGCAGAGGGCAGAAGACAACCACCATTGATCATTAGTAGACCTCTATGGTAGACCTTCAGTCACCAGTCAATTACCATAACTGGATAAAACCAAACCTATAGTCACACTTTCTGTTGTTATCATATCATAAATGTTTATCTGTTCAAATATACATCCACAAACATAGCCAAGAAGTTTTAGAATAATGGAATAGAAATGGATGTACAACTACTGTGGTGGTGAAAGATCACAGTTTTGTCCAGCGATGGTGTTCTGAATAAATAGGTTTTTATTTCCACGCAGTCACAGGTGTCTGACACTTTCTCTCTGTTTTTCATGAAATCACCAAAAAAAGGGAAATGAAAACACTATATTGCTCGATGTAGGCGAGGAGCTCCCTGTCAGCTGACTGAGGTCAAGAGGCTTTAGCATTGGGGAAACAACCACACGCCGGAGGAAAGCTCTTCCTTGGAGTCTGTAGAGAGAAGTGCACCCTTACTCTGAGATTCGTTTCCTTTTTCCACTGCTAAACAACACACACATGCACTCCAAACTTCAAGGGAAAGTGCAGTGAACGTGCAATATTAATAACAGCACTGTCATAGTTCTCTCAGGTAACAGCTGCCCTGCCAAATATATGAGATAGTGTTGAAGAAACTACACACACCACTGAAACTGTGCTCTCATGATACCAATCCCTCTTATACCATTCAGTTTGGGGACCAAAGGTTGCGATTAAATCACTCTATTCAAAACAATAAAACAGTATATTGTATTTAGATGTATATTGGACCAACATCAGACTTTAATTTCTTTAATGTTGAGCATTTTGAATGACTAGCATTAACCCTCTGTCCCAAAGGATTTAGAAGGGATAAAAATGTCATCATTCATTCTCCATATGTCATTCGTCCATACATGTATGACTCTTTTCTTTTCATTTTTCCAGTGGAAAAGAAGACATTTTGAAAAATGTATGGCTTTGTCCATAGAATGCAGTGTTTTAAAATTCATTGACTTTGCGGTCAAAATGGCCCAAACAAGAAACAGAGCAAATATAATAGATTTATTATATTGAAATTGTGAGTAACAGTTAATCTCAACTGAATAGGTGTAAAAAAAAAAAAAAAAAAAAAAAAAAAAGGACTGACACAGGTAAGATAATTCAAGGCCTTATGCATATTTATCTAAATGTTTTCAGGTAAATCAGTGTTTTGTCTGATTCACACGTCAGAGAAGGGTGCATGTAACAAAAGAAATTCCATTGTAATCTGAGCAGTGTAAACATACTGTTTAAAGTTCATATTTTCTCATGACGCATCTGTTTGAACTCTGTACTCTTATGCACTATGCACACAATTAATTAGGCCTACATGTTGATAAGACATTACAATCACAATAAACAAGGCCTTTGTATCAAAATATCACTTAGCATTAAGCAGCATTGACCAATCACAAAAAGTTGCTTTGAATGTTAATTTGACATATATACATACAAATTCAAAAATAGTGTTCAGTCTCTATCACATCCGTAAAACTACTCGAACAACACTGAAATGCAACAGCATGTTCAGGGGTCACAGAAAATCTCAACAGTAATACTGTTGTAATTACAAGAACTGTTTACTATTTTAATATATTTTAAAATAAAATATATTCCTGTGATGGTAAAGTTGACATTTTCCAGTCTTTCATTCGTTATTCTTACTGTAAAAATGAATGAGCTTTATCTAATCAAAAAAATTGGGGCAACAGATTACAAGCAATATTATAAATTCAATTTAACAAATTAGAATTGAGTAATGATTATTCAAATTTATTCCTTAAAAGTAAACCATTTAAAATGAGTAAAACTTACCAAAAAAAAAAAAAAAAAAACAACAACGTACATTTACGTCGCCATCAGTGTAGCCTATGTTTTAGGTTTCTCCTTCAATGATTCTGCCTGTTAACATCAGGTGTCTTCAATGTTGGCAATATAAAATAAAGAGTTCTTAATCTTTGACGTCTGTCTATTATTCAGATATATTTGTTTATTTTTTTGCTGTAGCCTAAACTTTACTCATTTTAAATGGTTAACTTTTAAGGAATAATTTGATTAGCCTAATTATTACTCAATTCTAATTTGTTCAATTTAATTAATAATATTGCTTGTAATCTGTTGCCACAATTGTGTTGATTAGATAAAGCATATTCATTTTTACAGTTGAAATAATGTTATCTAGACAATATTTGAATTATTTTTTTACTACAATGGCATAATAAATGCCAGTTGGGCCTAATTTATTTTTAAACATCACTTTGTCTTTATGATATCACACTTCATCATATTTTTGTGTCCTTGGCATCAACCAAGTTTGAATACCCCTGAGTCTTTATCTAAAATAAATGAAAGTGGTGGAAAACCCGGCGGTGTAACAAACATCCTCGTTTATTTGTAAAGCCAATAGATGTCATCATCATCATCAGCCTTCACCTTAAAACGGATATGATGATGATGCAAGACGAAGAATTATTGCCCGGTCAGTTTTATTTTCAGTTTCTCGCTTTCTCTTGAAACCCCTCCTGTCCTGTCTGTAAGGGGGTGTGCCTGTGTGACGCTTCACGGACATATATAAAACACACGACACACACCAAACCGATGTAAACTACGAGGTAGAAAACCTTCTTCAGGACCTATAATCATATAGCAGCGATGCAGAGGTAAGATGATGGAATTAT